CGGAGTGAGGGCAGGCCCGAGCCCCCCTACCTTCCTGCGCCAACGCAGACGCCACTCACAGTTGACTGAGCGTGGACCGACCCTGCCAGACTTGGGGCAGGGCTCCTGGGTGATCGGGGAGCACAAAGAGGACGAGATCTCGGGTGGGGGAAACCGGAGGGGCCGGGCGGAGGACCCTGCGTGGCCCTCGGTGAGGGCCGCGTCGACACCGCGCCCCTCCTCATACCTCCTGCAAGGAGGTTTACAGGATCTGTCAAAAAAGGCTTTCTTTCTAGACATATCCCCCTCTAGACTGCCGCTTTTTGCTGACAAAGTGCTGAGTTGGCAAAATGTGGTGGCCATTTTTTTATGCAAATTAGGCACAGGATATTTAAATCCCTGCCTCATTTGCAATGTTGACCTGCCTAATCTGCATCCCTCTGCCGACAGAGGGATGCAGTCTAGACATAGCCCATGGGTTCTAGAGGCAGGAAGATCAAAGGAAACACCACCACTGCAACACACACAGAGGACATTTTATAGTGGAGAAAGAGAGAAACAGGGACCACAACAAGGTAGAGTTGAGAGAGAATTAGTTGAGATTTACAGGAACACAGGAGAGAACAAAGAACAGGGCAGCAGCAGTGCTATTCAAGAATGTGGGAGAAAGCAAGGAGTACAAAATAAAATGGGATTGGCTGTGTGAAAGGTAAAGGATTGAGAGAAGAGGAGTTGCTTCCTTTCAAAGAAGAGGAAAAAGGTACATGAAAATGAACTTCAATTTTTTTTAAAAGCCTTAGGCAGAAATGAAAAAAGGAAAAAAAATAACTTGGTGAGAAAATAAAAGGAGATGAAGATATAGAATAAGTGAGGGGGTAGTGAGGAGAAAAGATGTTAAAAAACCTGTCACTTCTGAGTTAGTGATTTTTATTTATGCTCCTATATGTGATAATATTTCCCTGACAGATGTCCTATCGCTCTGTAAGTTTATGGGGATGGTTATTTTGAGCACCTATTATATGAATATGGTACAAAATAGCTAACAATACTCATCCATTCTATCTGATGATCTCAGTTCTGTATTTTAATAATTGGTATTTTCATGGCTGCTACTTAAAAAAAAAATTCCCCCTCCCCTGGGCAATTCTGAAATGCCTCTGAAGTGGACAGGGGTGTAGGATTAATCCATTTTTTCTAAAGAGACACATTTTCTTTTCTATTCCACTGCTTGTAATTAGGGTAGACATGTAACTGAGTATTTCTGAGTATTGATCTATGTAAGCTAATGAAGACCTTCTTTGCTAATGACCACCATTTTTAAAATTCCAGCCTTGTCCTTCCTAGCTAGTAATGAATACGATGCCGGTCCTTTAACCAAAAGAGCAGACCAGTAATATCTTCCAAAGGCAATGCCATAAGTTTGCCTACAACAAATGGTCATCATCACCAGTGCATTAAGCATCCTTCTTATAGTCTTCAGCTGTACTTGCTTTGGGTGATGCATATATACCACAATAATGGATGCCTTTTAATAATAACCAAGATAGAAATACACTTTATCAAGAAAAGAAAATAATTCTTAAATGTCAGATGCTAGCAATGGTTCTTCCCTTAGAAGCCTAGAAACCTGTGATTGTGGGAAAGGTAGAGCCATGGTCAGTGAAATTGTAACTGCTGAGGACTACTGGACTACAATCCCGTGGGAGGTGCAGTATCTGCTACAGCATTATATAAATTAATAGACTGTGCTGAGATGTGTCATGCCCTGCCTCTGAAATGATTAAGTGGCTTCTATTCCCCTTCTACTTGGGTTTTGCATAGAGGACTGGAATTTCACCTATAGAGGGTGATATTTCAGAAAACAAATCTAGCCTTTACGAAATTAAGGAATTTTTGAAGCTTGCATAACGGCACTAATGGTTTGTTAAAATTTAGAAAACTTTCTGTATGAACAGTATGTAAAGAGTGAGATAGTTGCCTGTTGTTTTAACAACAAAGTTAATTTGTTTGTGCGAATACATAAAGTTTCTTATTTTTAAAATCAATAGGGAATACATGGCAAAAGAACTTTATTTCCAAAATTAAACAGTATATACTCTTATGAAATCTAACATCCAGGTTCCATAGATGAAAATAATCCAGTAGAATTAAGGATATTTCTTGTGTCTGAAGATACATGTAACCTTTTCACCAGAGAAGAATACTTTTTTTTTATTAAACTTTTATAATAAAATGGAATGGAAATTAGTGTAGTACTCTTGTTCTGTTGTTTTCACATCTTTTTGCCAACACTCAGGTACGTCTTAGGTGCATGTTCCTGGAAATGAAAATTGAATAGAAAACAATTTTCAAGTTTCATTCAGGGGAAAGGGTCACTGTACAATGTGTCAATTTTATGTATGCACTAATACTTAATATATATAAAGAAGTGTAACATGATAATTTATAATTAAAACACCCCAAACAGTGTTTAGAAGTCATCTAGAAAGCATTTTAGATGCATCTTATTTTCCTCCATTTAAAAAAATCTGAATACCTGTAATTAAGGGAAAAATTGAGCCCTGGAAGGTAGGACTTCCATCTATTGATCTGTGTAAACCCAGCTTACGCTGTCAGGGGAGAAGCAGTCAACTGCTGAGCTGCTTTGTCACTGACATAAGCTGAGAGAGGATTTTTTTGTCTATACTGTTTATACACCAGTCTATAGACCTGCTGGCTGGTTGAATTTTAAAGAGTGCGGAGGTTTAAAGACTTGTCCCCTGAGGGATGCTCCTGCCAGTTGGGAAGCGAGCTGAGGCTGTATTTTGCAGAAGTTGTGTGTATGTATGTTTGTGCAGGTCATGGTGGGGGAAGGGTGGGAGGCAGAGCAATGAGAAACTACTGTAGTTTGCTTGAGTCTCAAAAATGTTGCAAAATGTACTGATTTTTATGTTAAGTCAAAATATTGGGTTAATCTTTTTTTGTTTCCTTCTTTGTGCAGTAATTTATTTTTTTAAGAAAAACTTCAGTGGGAAACTCAGTTGAATATTAAAGATACATTTCCTACCTATTTTAAATGAATCCTACAGATACCAAGCAGCAATTAATACTATTGACATAAAGACAAAAATAAGTTTTAAATTAAGATATATACTGCAAGTGAAAATGACTCAGTGGCATGATACCTGACTCAAAGTGGCATATTACTACCTGAGGACCCAAAATTTAAAAATAAAATTATTTCTTTGAAAAAAAAAAATTGTGAGCCTGAGAGAATGATGTATTTAAAATGTAGTATGTTACGAGTTTGGACTGTTTTTTTGGTAATGTTTGTTTTTTGGTTTTATTTCATTGCTTGTTTTCTGCTTTGTGTATACTGTATGTTTTATTCCCTGCAATTTCTACATTGGCCCCTCGCTGCCAGCCGAAATTGAGACTGAACAGCAATCTCTTTGGAGAATTTTATATGTGTTACTACATAGAAATAGATTTTCCAAGATCAGGGAGTTAGCATTCTTCCTCAAAACACAGCATATTACTTTCATCCCATTCTTTAGCTCTGTTATCACACAGAGACAGAGTGAATCCCAAAGCTGCTCCCGAACTCAGGGACAATATACTTTCTCATTTTTAGCCTATGTACTAATGGTAGTGGTCTACAAGGACACACAATATATCTTTGAAAAAAGCTGTAAACATTTCACTCATGCAGTGTTTAGGGAGTCTGTAAATATACTGACCTTGCTGGTGAATATATTATATTTTTCCATGCATGTTTTATACTTTGTAAAAATGCAAATGCGTAAGGAAAGTTACAGGTTCAGTGCAGTGCACAGGAATTTAACTGTATGGCTTTTGGTATATGGGAGTTTCTGTCTCATCCTGTAGTATGTTGAGCATTCTTTAAACTTGGGGGTTCTCAGCATCTCATACTATTAAGCACTTAAATCTCCACCTTTTAGCACTGGAAGTTTGGAATCTACACACAGTCCTGCAAACACTCTCTTAGAGGGGTGCCTTTAAATATGGCTTGTTGGTTTGGGAAAGTAAGCAGGTGCTGCACATCACTGACCAAGCTACATTTCATCAACTGCCATTCCCCTACATTGGGACATTTCACACAGGACTTGTTTTCCCAACTGGTTTAATGGAAGCAAGAATATATATACAGGTTTTGGGATCTTGTAAGAATGGTGGGATACATTTGTTCAGATTTCCTGATAGCAGATCTGTTATCTTCTTATTTTCTAGAGACAGGTTTTTGTTAGCTCTGATTTTACTAGAGATAAGTTTTGTACTTCTTAAAAAAGCAAATTAGTCCATTTTAATATTTTAATTAACACATTTTATTTGTCACTAAACAGCTTAAAAATGTGCAGAAAAGAAACCGTATCCATTTACATGATGGTCTGAATGCTGCAGGACTGGTCTTACTTTCTCTCTTAATTAATAATGTTTGCTTCTGAATGCCTTACTGTTCAACTGAAGGGATAACCATATACATTTCTATTTTGTACCAACAGAAGATTTTCATCTTTTTCAGCATTTGACTATGAAACATGTATAGAGTTGTTATACCTCTGAGTAATTTATTCTGCTGCCAACTTCATTCCCTTTTCTCTGCCTGCATTTTAATTGAAACAACGTTTGTATTTTTGAGCCAGGATCTGTCAGAAGTCCCTGTGGCTAGTCTGTGGTACAAGTAGCAGCAGACATGGCTTACCCATATGGTGCAGTGCTTCTTGTAAAATCCATATGGCCTTGTTGAAGGGAATCCCAGCGGGGATGTGAAGGGTGTTAATACCCTTCAGGCCAGGCCTTTCCCTCCTGGGGCGTCTATGGCATTGTCTTTGCAATCTGCCAAAGCACACACTTAATTCCTTTTTAATAATCAATTATTTCAGTCCAGGAACGTGTGCTATATTTCTTGCAACCAAATATTTCTTGAAAAAAAATTTTTTTTAGCAAACAATACAGCAAAAATGCTTAAATAAAAAGTCCTTTTAAAAGCCTAACTGCATTTCTTTAATCTCTGTTTACAGGAGGTGCTGCAGAGCGTGCCGAAGTTCTGCTTTCCTTTTGACATTGAAAGGTTTGTAGTGCAATAGTCATTTATTTAAAAATAATTAACTCAAATTATCTGTTTAGTGAAAATGTAAATATTTTTTGCAAGGCTAGACTTAAAGAAATAAGAGCAAAATAAAATGCATAGCATCATCTAGTCTTGCACCTGGAGGTGAAAAGAATAAAGACTAGCCATTTTTTCCTTTGTTCTCCAAGTATGTATTTAGGCATGAGTTTAAAAAAAAAAATCACAGTATAATACACTCTTGCTAGGATTGTAAGAATTCTCTTTTGATATAGAGCTGCATTCTGGCTCCCAACTTCCTCCAGCCCAATTGTAAACACCATCTGTGTAATATAAGGATAGAAGATAGTTTCCTCCCAACAGCAGCTTTATAGAAATGATGCAATACACCAGAATATAAAAACTCATTGTGCAGTTTTAAAAATAACTATGGTTTGTGTTTCACCATGTATAAGAATTGAAAGAACTTCAGTTACATGCCAGTGTCTGCATGGGCAAGGGATTTTTCTGAGGGTAGGTTCAAGACCTTTGTTTGTAAATTATAGTTAATCTTCCCTTATATGCATTTCAGATATCCATACAAGGTATTTTTATTAGCTCAAAATATTTATTTTACTTCATCCAAATGTTTGATAATGAGTTTCATGGTCATTAATTTAACCAATTGTGTAGATTTGTAGTTTAGAAAACTCACATTGTGGGTATATCCATGAGTCAATTAATGTGTTACTTGGGGAAGCGTGGCTTGGAGAGCTAATGAATGTGCACCCAGATAGCCTTAAGATCTCACTGGTCTCAGAACATAAGTTGCATGAGAGGATTTGAGGAGAAGGTGTTACTATTTAAGAAAGAGAAGACAGAAATATGAGTGTGTGTATGGGAGAGAAGAAGTGCTTGAGAGAGAATATTGGGGCAACCTTGCAAATGCATGTTATCTGTTAGGAAGCTTGGTCATCTCACCTTTTAGATGTTGCATTTCAGTTGTTTGGCTTTTGAACATAATTCATTATACAAGTTTTATGGCTCAGCCAACACTGTTGATAACGTTTTATATTCCTTCATTAAAGCCTTTACATTCTTCAACTTAAAATCTATTTCAAGTTGTTTGTGAATATGAGGTATGGAAATAAAATTTAATGATGACAGAAGCAGGTGAGGTTCAGTTGCTGCCATCCAGTGGCAAAAACTTAGCATCAGTAAATAAATTATTTTCACAAATTGCTCTGTGTGATTAAGTTAGATAGATATTAACAGGCAAAGCAATGTCTGTAGATTAGATTATCTAGCGTTTCTGTTTTAAAGGCTCATGTTCAGTTTACTGTGTGCTCAAAATTTTACCTTTTGGGGCTAAGGTTTGGTAGATATGCTCCATACAGGAGTGAGGAAAAGAAGTATTTAATTTTGCTTAAAATTTTTTGCTGTAAACTTCTTTTTAAATAGCTCTGGTGCCCAAATATAAGATATATGAAATTTGGCAGAAACATATTCTCTAGGTAGGTCATAGATATGCTGATCATTGGTTTAATTTGGCCAAGTTATAAAATTTAAAATTTTCATTTTGTACAATTATACGGGATTATTCTAAACCATGAAACTAAGGAACTCACAAACTTTCCTTTGGCAATGTACATGCATAATTATATAAACCAAGTAGAATTTTTCATTGGTTAGATAAGTTCTCAGAGTGCAATTGGGGGTGCTTTTTGGTATGTATAACAAAGTAGAATGGAATCTGAGGCTTCATAGCAGAGGAGGGCAATAAGCAGTTCGCAGGTTGTAATAGCTCCTTTGGTGCCATTAATGGGTAGCTAACTTCACTTTTGTTTGTAATGGGGGTTACCTTTTCTTCTCCTTTTCATATAGAGCAACAGGATTCTACAGTCCAGGGCGTCCTTCCCCATGTCTTTTGTATGTTTTTTGCCTGTAACTGTTAGTTGGTCTATCTGTCTCTTACTTTTTCTCTACATTCCCCACTGTCTCCATCAACCTCTGTTCATCTTGGTTATCCTTCCTTCAGCCAAGGAAATTCAGCTGTGGCTCCCTATAGAATCCATGACTAAATATCCTTTTAATTGGTCAGAGGGTTAATAAAGTACCATTCAAGCTGTGTCATTTCTCCTGGGGCTGCCTTCCTGGTATTTGAATCCCAGGGTGTGAAGGATCAAATTCAGTCCCAAATTACAATATGTAACCCCTAGAACTTCAGTCCTCTTTCTGCTTTGAGTCTTCTCTCCTTTCATTTTGAGTCTTCTCTCCTTTCATTTGTTTCTGCCCTCTCATCCTTTCTTCCTATCTTCTGTTAATCTATTTTTAACCCCTTCAGCTTGTGAGCCTTCTGCAGAACACCTCCCAGAAGAGGGTACAGTAAATCTGCGCTTACAGGTAGTACATTTCCAGAAGTAACACAAAGAGTAGCAAAGTGACATTGATATGGACCTCATTAATTTCATGCTTGTCCCTTGCAGTGTCCCTTGAGAAGCCTTAGGTACCACAGTCCTACTACCCCTGTTGGTACATGAGGGAAAGGAAGAAATCTAGCAATGGAGGATCACTCCTATCATGCTTTTGGATCACAGCTGGGTTCCTGTGCATAGTAGTTCCCCAGGGACCCACTCAGGTCAACAAGTGACAATGGTGGGGATGATGTCACTTTTGCTCTACTGTTCCTTGTTGATGCTGTTTTGTTGATGTGAGTAGGGGAATTGCTAGGTGCATGCAGAAGCACACGTGTGATCTGAAATCCTGGCAGTCAATCTGCAGTCCTATGTAATTTATCCCTTATGGAAAACTTTACTTTAGAAATAAGTAATGAAAGTGCATTTTCAATCAAGGCAAACACCAAAAATAAAGGAAAAGTAGAGTTCAAGTGATTCCACTATAAACAGCATTATCTCTGTGTTTGACTCATCCCAGATCAATGTACAATCTTATCTGTGACAGTAGTACAGTGGTGGGCAGTAATTCTTGATATGGGGGGGCACTCCAAGAATTTGGTAACTGGTCAAGGGCCATACTTTTCCATGATATTAATGGAAGCGGTATGGGGTCTGTGATGGAGGTTGGGTGCAGAAGGGAGCTTGGGATAAAGGATTGGGGTGCCGAAGAGAGTGTGGGATCTGGGGAGGAATTTGGGTGAAGGAGGGGATTGTGACCTGGGGCAGGAGACTAGTGTTCAGAAAGGGGTGCAGGGTCTTAGAGGGGGTCTGGGTGCAAGAAATGATTCTTACCTGGAGGAGGAGGGTACGGGGTCTAGCAAAGGGTTGTGACCTGGAGCAGGAGTGCAGGGTGGAGGTGTGGGGATCTGGGTTGTGATGGGGAGAGGTAGAGGATTATGGTGAAGGGATCTGGGTTGTGGTGAAGGAAGGGGTTATGACCTGGAGGAGGGATGTAGGATTTGTGAGGGGGTTGTGATCTGAGGCGTGGGTGCAGGGGACTGGGGTGCAGGACTTGAGAGGGAGTAAGGGTGCAGGAGGGAGGCAGAAGACTGGGGGAAGGGTAGGGATGGGTTTCCAGAGGCAGAGCCATGTGTAGCTGTGAATGTTGTGAGTCTGGAGGAGGTGGGGTAATTGGTTCACTGCCTATTATGCAAACAAGCAGGAAACTGGCCAATGGGAGCTGCAAAATTATGCTGGGGACAGGGGCAGTGTGTGAAGCTTCTCTCCCCAGGGTTGCAGCATTCTGGGGCAGGCAGGGAGCCTGACTGAGGCTCCTGCTGAGTCACGGCCTGGATCCTGCAGGCTGTATTTTCCGTGCCCCTATACTAGTTCTTCTTGGAGTGCTTGCTCGTGTCCATTCCACAGTAGATGTGTGTGCTCACCACATGCACCGGTGCTGAAAATTTTTCTCTCACTACAAATAGGGGAGTACCCCTAGCCACCAATAGAGTGGCACCGCTTTGGCATGGTATGAGGAGCACGTTGTGATTTTCCGCCCCCTCCAGTTCCTTCTTGCCGTCAGTGACGGTGCATCAGAATTGCTGTGCTGTGGACAACTTCTTTCTTGCTGCATAGGCTGTATCTTTTTTGTAAATAGTTTCCTCAGAAGTGTTAATTAGTTAGAACTACTGCTCTCAAGATTGCTTGAGGCACCTGATTTTGTAAAGTTGAAGTTGCATGTCCCCGCTGTGCAAGAGTTTGATGTAGTGCATCCGCAGTAGGGTGGCTACCATTGACTTTGACAGCAGTGCACTGTGGGTAGCTATCCCACAGTTCCTGTCACCTCGTTGCATTCTGGGCTAGGCGCCCAATGCTGGATAGGACAAAAGCAGTTTAGCAGGTGGTTGTGGGTAAATGTCAGCATCCCATAATGCACTCATTTCCTCCCTCAGCCCCTGCTTTAAAGCAACAGCTAACAATCTTTTTGCATCTTTTTTCCCTGGCTATCCATGCAGATTCCATAGCTGGGCAAGCATGGACGCTGTTCAGCAGCAAAGTGCTATGGAGAGCATAGCAAACATCTCTCGCCTTATGCTGTGATATGTCTAAAATCTATCCAGGAGCTGGAGCAAGGAAGAATGCGAGGAGGCTATGAATAGACTAGGAATGTTAGCATATAATCATATAAATGATTAACTCATAATCCTGGTTTTATTGGTTAATCCTAACAACTACACGCCTCCCTCCCCTCTGCCTCTGTATCAGAGGTAGCAAGGGGGGAGAGTTGGGAACTGTCTTTAAGGCTGGCTCCCCGTGCATATCGCTCGGGTGATAGATGGAATACACATCACTATCTTGGCACCCAACCACTTTGCCAAAGAGTACATAAACTGCAAGGAGAACTTTTCAATGGTGTTTCAGGTACTGGTGGACCACAAGGGCTGTTTGACTGACATCAGTGTGGGGTGATCAGGAAGTGTGCATAATACACACTTCTTTAGAGAGTCTGGTCTCTTCAGAGAGCTGCAAGATGGAACATTCTTCCCAGACTGGAAAATTACCATTGGAGGCATTGAAATATCATTAGTGACCTTTGGAGACCCAGCCTATCCCTTGCTCCTATGGCTCATGAAGCCATACACAGGCAGCCTGGACCACAGTAAGGACCAATTCAACTACAGGCTGATCAAGTGCAAAATGGCTACTTTTGGAAGTTTAAAGGGAAGGTTTCGCACTTCATTGATTAGGTTAGACCGTAGTGAAAGCAACATTCCCGATGTTGTGGCAGCCTGCTGTGTGCGCTCCATAATCTCTGTGAAAGCAAGTGGGAAAGTTATAGGGTGGGATGGAAGGGTCAAAGCAGAGTGACTAGCTAGTAATTATGAGCCAACAGACACCAGGGCAATAAAAATAGCATATCAAGGGGTACTGCAAATCAGGGAGGCTTTGAAAGACAGCTTTGTGAATAGCCTGACTATGATGTGACAATTACGCATGTTGGTCTTAACAACATGCCCCCTGCATTAAGTGTGCTTGTCTGTAAACCCTGTAACATCTCTGCTCCCATGCAACACAAGCAATAAAGATACAGTTGGAGCTTCATGGATGGGGTAAGAAAGGGAAAGCAGTGTATTATATTCCCCCTGCTTGGCAATCACACAGATGTGAGAATGTCAGCCTTTTTTCCAGCAGAGTTGGAAATTCCCAGCCAGAGTGATCATATTGGGGGGTCTGTGGGACACCTCCCAGAGGTGAAGAACATAAACTTTCACAGTATTGTGTCTGCACTACGCTGAAGTTGGCCATGCAAGGTTGAATTTACTGTTACTCCTGGTGGAAAACAGAAATGCTGAAATCAACTTTACCAGCTCTTTAAGTTTGTGGAATGAGTTTGATGGTGTAGATTCATTGTTTAGAAATATGACCTAATGCAGCTAAATTCGACCAAAACTCCTAGTATAGATCAGGCCTATGTAAGTTTTCCAGAGCTGAAGAAGAGCTTTGTGTGAGCTCGAAAGCTTGCGTCTCACCAACAGATATTGAACTCATGTTACTTAAAGGGGTAGATTGGAACAGGGTGTGAGGCTGCCAGGAATAGGAACTTTGAGTAGAGACTGGGACTGGCTGGGCAAAGAGTTTAAAGGTCACAGGGATGAGAAGCTTGGGGAAAGTTACTGCTGTGGAGCCTTAATTTGGCCACCTTATGCATATGCATTATGACACTGTTTTTAATTACATTCTCACACTAATTTTTTCTTCAGGCACTTTGTCTATGTGCGTTTGCAATGAATTAGAAAGTGCTGTCTCCTGCACAGATAATCTTTTCCCTAGTGTTAGAATGTTCCTTTGTGCCTGAGGAGTGGCATGTACTTCACCTTGGAGCATTATGTGATCTTTTAAGTAGGGATGTAAAAGGTTAACCGGTTACCCAGTAAGCATTAGACTTACTGGAATGATTACTAAGTAACCAGTTAATTGGATGGGTTGGGCCAGCCCCAAGCATGCCTGTAGCCTTGTCTCCTGCTATGCTCACAGCTGTGCTGGCCCTGGCTGCACCAGAAGCAGGTCAGACTTCAGTCCAGCCACACGCCAGCCACGGCCACATCCCCGCCATGTACCTAGGGGGCAGGCAGGACTCAGGTCCTGGCAGCACCCGTGGCCCCATCTGCTGGCCACGTTGGAAGTCCAGGTGGCCCTGGCAGCTGCAGCCGGGCAAGGGTAAATGGGACCTTGGCTCCGGCCACACTGCAGTGGTAGTCCCTGCAACTCAGGCCCTGGCCGTGCCAGCAGCCTCGGCCTTGGCCCCCCTGCACCTAAGAGGTGGCATGCGGGATCTTGGCTCTGGCTATGCTGCAGTGACGCTGGGCGAGGGCAGGAGGGGCCTCAGCCATGACACAGCCACCATGCCTGCCCACAAACCCGTGAGACTTCTGCCCTGGCTGCCTTGCACTGGCCCACCAACAGTTAACTGGATAAATGATAGAATTTTAGTTGTTTAACCATGTAATTGTTCTGAACAATATTTTACATCCCTACTTTAGGTATCTGGGACCTAAGCCATTGAACACATTGAAGATTAGGATCAAATCTTGAACAGTTTCGGATACAGGATTTGTGAAAGCTTATTACTGTGTTCTTATTTTTCATAGTTGAAAATACTGTTTTTTCCTAAAAAAAAGAAAAGCATTCTGTATGCTGCTAATTGAATTAAATATGTGTATAATTTTAAAACCGTTCTTTTCTTTTTCAGTATATTGTCATATATGATTTAGCTATTTTACAATCTGTTTTATATTTTTTTAGGGTATCACAAAATCAAGTAGGACAGCACTTCACCTTTGTGCTTACAGACATTGAAAGTAAACAAAAGTTTGGATTTTGCCGGTTAACATCAGGAGGCAAAATCTGCCTCTGTATTTTAAGGTGAGTGAGTATAAAAAACATTGGAGTTTGTAATTCCAGGACTTGTTATTTTTAGATTTGCTTTATTGTGCTTTAAAATGCATAGAGATTTTAATAGCATGCAAATCTTCGAAATGATGTATACTTATCACTGTGTTTCTTTTTTTACATTATATTAATAATTTATTTCTGACAAAGGCATAAGTTAAATTATTTTCATAAAATTAAACTAAATACTCCTACACGAATAATAGGAAAGATCTACTTTAAAGAGATATTTGAGACTATTATGTAAGTTTTCTGATTTAATATGTTTAGTTGTAATTTAAAATTCTGAAATTAAATATTTTTGTCATTTCTGAATCAATTTTTCAGAATATTTGATCCACAATATGTTCAATGTTTTAACTTTTGTTTCTTGTGAAAATTAACATGTGTTCTTATATTTTTAAATTCAAAATTGTTACAGAAGTTTCATATAGTTCAATATTGTTCAAAAGCTTCAGAGGGGTAGCAGAGTTAGTCTGTAACCGGAAAAATTTATAAAACAACAAATAGTCTAGTAGCACCTTAAAGACTAACAAAATACGTAGATGGTATCATGAGCTTTCGTGGGCGCAACCCACTTCTAGAGATGACTGGAGTATTAGAAATCTTGGATCTGGACTTCTAATACTCCAGTCATCTGAAGAAGTGTGTTGTGCCCACAAAAGCTTATGATACCATCTACATGTTTTGTTAGTCTTTAAGGTGCTATTAGATTATTTGTTGTTTTATAAGTCTTTCAATATTGTTGTTAGCTGTATTAATTCTGTGATATTCTAGAGATATTCTTTTTTTTATGCCTGATTTTGCATGCAAATAGTTTGTAAGCAAGGAGTAACTTGGGAGTACAAAAGATTAATCAGATTTAACTGGAAAGTTGGAAGTGGCTGCTCATTCCCTTCACCCACAAACCGTCCTTTCCATGTAAGACTAAGAAATAACATTTTCTACTTGTTCTCCTAACTCTGTCTGGCTTATCTCTAATGTAATAAATGCTTAATCAGTTCCACAGATCCACGTACTAATGTTAAAATATTTTAAGTGGTACTGTTGCTGTCTACTTTAAAATAAAAAAGTATTGGAGCCAGATTATAAGATGGTGTAAATTGGCATACCTCTACAATAGTTAGTTAGTGGAACCTACGTTGATATACGTCACCTGAGTTTCTGGTTGATGGTCTGCTACATGGTAGAAATAACTAATGAAATGAAAAGTGGCAAGCTATAATTTTTAACTGAGTCCAGCTACCAAAATCAAGGCTAATTACAAATCATAGAATTATAGAACACTAGAACTGGAAGGGACCTCGAGAGGTCATCGAGTCCAGTCCCCTGCCCTCACGTCAGGACCAAGCACCGTCTAGACCATCCCTGATAGATGTCTATCTAACCTGCTCTTAAATATCTCCAGAGATGGAGATTCCACAAGCTCCCTTGGCAACTTATTCCAGTGTTTCACCACCCTGACAGTTAGGAAGTTTTTCCTAATGTCTAACCTAAACGTTCCTTGCTGCAGTTTAAGCCCATTGCTTCTTGCCCTATCCTCAGAGGCCAAGGAGAACAATTTTACTCCCTCCTCCTTGTGACACCATTTTAGATACCTGAAAAGTGCTATCATGTCCCTTCTTAGTCTTCTCCTTTCCAAACTAAACAAGCCCAGTTCTTTCAGTCTTCTTTCATAGGTCATGTTCTCTAGACCTTTAATCATTCTTGTTTGTTCTTCTATAACCTTCCACATCTTTCTCTACATCTGGTGCCCAGAACTGGACACAATACTCCAATTGAGGCCTAATCGGCGTAGAGTAGAGCGGAAATAAGCGGGAAACCAAAATCTATAATGAATCCAGAAAAAAAATTAACTTGGATTTCCCTCCAGTAGTTCTGCATGATTCTTTGCAGAACTTTTTAAAGCTGTTTTGTGGAGCTCACATTTTAGACTCCTGCTGTGCACATGGTCCCCTCCAATCTTTTTAGCTAATGTGCCCTGTACTTCCTTTAGTACATAAGCACAATGTGGAGTGGGAGTGTCAGAGTTTTTTAAAATATATCTTGGGCCTATGTGCGAGATTGGGTCTTTCCCCAATTTTTATATGAATATTGGCAAACGTCTGCAAATTCAGATTTGATTGGTATCTTATAACATGTTTCTAAATTTTAAGTGTACTTCTATTATTATGGGATGAAGTGTGATTCTTTTATATTTTGTTACTAAATATTTTGATATTTAAAAACATGTACTACAGATATTGAGCAATACTAAATTCATTTTATATTGTCTATGTTGCTTGAATAGAAAGATTCACTATGAGAGCTACAATTCATTTTTTTAAAATCTTGCAGCTGCTGACTGCCTGTAACATTGACCTTATGTACGCTGAGAAGTGCAAGGCATCATTAAATTTTCTGCCTTAGATTTGATTAATGAAATTTTATGACTGTAAAATTGTCACCTGCATTTCCAAACGAAATGCTCTAATAAGGAAGACAGGTTTATATGGTAAAACTTTGTAGTTCTTCAATTCAGACCATGCTTGAAGCTTTCTCTCTCCCTTTAGGCAAATCCCTTAGAAGCAGAATGTTTCAATTTTACACATTTTGTGTCAATTTTCCAGACAGAAAAGTAGCCCCTAGACATTAGACATTTAGCTACGGAAAGGCGGTTTCCTTAGTTTTATTTGATTACTAGAAGTTAGAGTCCTGCTGATAGTTCAAGACTGTTAGTGGTTACCTGACTATTTGACAGAAAACATTTCCTTTTCTTTGTTTAACCTTTGACTTATGAATGTATAAGTTTTATCAGAGCTATTGTTGAAGCACAAGTGAGGTGGAAGTCTACTTACTGCAACAAAGATGATGCATGACTTTGAAGAAAAGACTGAGCGCCTGTCTTGTTGCTACTTTTGTATTATAAGAAAATGCTAAATACATTTTTTTAATTACCACTATAAGGTATTATATGGTTGTGTTTTTTCATGACAGTGACGTGCACGTTTGTAGAAAATATCCCCTTGATTTTAAAAGCATAGAATTTCCATTTCCATGTTCTGCAGGGCATAAGTAATATAAGATTTATTCTTTTCATTGCAAAAAAATTTATTATAGCATCTTATACACCAGTGAATAAGGAGATTGCCAAGTTTTTCCATATTTGCTTTTCAGAAGTTTATACATAGCAAAGTCTTCAGGACTGAAACCATAGATAAAGTTTTCAAAAGCACTTAAGTGATTTAGGAGTTGAAGTCCTATTTTCAAAGGTAGTTTAGACATTTAGAGTCTCAGAGCTCATGGCAAATCAATGAGATTTAGTCTCCCAAGAGTCTGAGGTCTTGTCCACACAGTGGGGAAACGTGCCTTGTGGGGATGTGATTCCTAAAATGCACAAACGTGTTGTATATAACTTGGTCTGTATAGACACATGCACCAACAGTGCCTTCGTGGACCGATTAAGATGCAACACATAAGTACATTTTAGAAATCACACTTCCGTAGCATGCATTATCACACCATATAGTCAATCTCTAAGTTTCCTCTGAAGAAGAGATTCAGCAGTCTACGTCACTCATCTAAAACCCCTAGCCCTTATCTTCCAGTGTGTTTCTACAGTGCCTACCACAATAGGGCTTCAATTATTTTGCTCTTATTGTAAGGCAGTAAAATAATCATGTAAGACATTAATATTATATATTTGTATGAGTTCAGACTTGGGGAGTAACTTCTTCCTTAGTACTTTTCTTTTTACCCGCACTCAAATTAAAATTAGTTTAACAGTTTACTTTCAATAAAGGCACTTAGGTCTTTTTTCTGTCAAAATTGTAATGAACTTTGCTTGAACTATTTTCTTGAGAAGGACTGAGTAGCTTCTTTCATCCACAGTACTTTTATTCTTATCGATATGATGCATAAACACAATGAATTATATTACAGAGCTACATATTGCTGAATAAAAATGTAGGGCCCTAATACTGCAAACACTTATTTGCACTGTTGGATTCAGGGGGAAAAAAAGACGTACTTAAAAAGGGATGGACTACCACTCTGAGTATTTTTTTATTAGCTTTGTGCTGTCAGGATGATGTGTGTATATTGTTCTTTTCTTTTTCTTTACCTGTGTGAGTTAAGATATGCTTCCCTTGCTCTTTTGGCTGTAAGTGGCATGCTTAAAATTATTTTAACATATTTTTCTTTGACTTTAACAGTTTGTAAGCTAAAGGTAATTATTGTGTTAGTATTCCAACTGTGAAGTGAAAGGCTTTCTAGTACAGCATTTAAAACATTGTATTTATTTAACTACTCAGATTTTTTACTCTGTTTTCCTTCAGTTTATGAAGGAATCATTTTTTTTCTAATTCAAGCTTTTTTAGTATCTAGAATGTGGGCATATATAATGAGTATATTTTTTCTTAGAAGAAGAAATTCTTGCTGCATTAAAAGTACAATAAATATACCTGTTTGTAAGGAAGGAAAAGCTCCCTTAGCTGTGTGCTAAGTATACTAATTTCAGAATGCAAATTGGACCTTTCTTTCTGCATCTGTTTTAGTAGAATGTCAGTTTTTGTTTTTTATAGTAAGCGGGAGCTAAGTTCATAGACTGCAAGAGATAAATATAAGAATTATGTGAGATAAAAATGGGAGAACTTGTTTTTACAGTCTGTTTGTGATCATTAAAAATGAAGGCTCAGAAGTCAAGGGACATATATTTTAGAGCTTTTTATTTTCTATTGAAAAAAGAAATACTGTATGTAGGAAAAGATACTGTACTATTACTGTGACATGTTGCTACACGGCACAGCACTGGAAAATTGATGGAGAGTCTAAACCAAAGTGGAAAACCTTTTTTGGGTCGGGGGCTGCTAGCCCTCAGAAAAATCAGTTGGGGGCCACATATAAGTGAAAAGCAAAAAAAAAAAAAAAAAAAGTGAACCCAAAATCCTCACTAATGTGGCCCCTGACTGAGAAGGAGAAAGACAATCCCCACATTCCCCTCGCATACCAGAGCCTAGGGGCATGGGCTAGTAAATTTTGTGTGCGCTAGCCCCCGGGGTTTAGGTCTCCCATCCCTGGTCTAAATTAATCACACATGACCGGTATGAGAAATGACTCTATAACTTATAAATTGTGTGATGGTTTTGTAGATAAATTACTTAGAACAAAACATCAATTGTAGATCACTATATTAGACTGATAAAGTCACTTTTTATATGCTCAATGATGTTTGATTTGCATTGGGTTTTGCAGTTAAGTCTTTTCCTCCTAGACACATATATTGCATTTCAGCCACTCAATAAACTCTTCTATTAGCATGTTTTCAAAAGATAACAAAAAAGATCATTTAACAGGAAGAAACTTCCAGAATCAATCATTTTGTGGAATTTTGTAATCCGTATTTTACCATAAAACACAACACTCACATCCGTGGCATTGTGTGCCCTTAGGTGTGATGGGGAAACGATATCCTAGTGTATTGAAGAGTGAACACTGTAATCAAGTTACGCAATAAAGTCACACCTTAGCTATCATAAAAAATACCAGGTCGCATAAATGTCTGTTAAAACACTAAGATATTGCCTGAGATGTGGTTAACAGATGGCACAATGTGCATGAAAGTCATTTAAAGAAGCCTAGCTGTCTAGAGTCTGTCTTCAGCAGCTTTCAGGAAACTGGCTGCTTCAGCCCAAACTCTGCTGACTTGCTGACTTCCCCGCAGGAGCCTAAAGCCTCTAGCATCTTTCAGAAAGACAGCTGCTTCAGTGTGAGCTGCAGTCGCATATTGGGCAGAACATTTGAAGTTATCACAGCTTGGGGAGATGTCTGTCTCTTCAGAGAGACAGATTTTTGAAATCTTTATTTTTATTTTTTATCACATCAGATTTTCCAGTACTTTAAACTTTACCCTACATCTGTAAAGAAATAGTTCAAATGTGTAAGTCTTGTGGAAAGAAGATCAGTCTTTCTCTAGACTGCAGAGAACTGGGGTTATCTACCCTTGTGAATTAGCTAGGGTGCAGGCAAATATGTCCCAGAAGCTGTTTCAGGGTAAAATATTTTCATTCAGTGTCTTCAGAGCTTTCAAAACTAGTTAGCCTCAGATGAAATAATGAGAGATGTTGACACACTGCCACTTGTTTTCATGAATATATTGATATGTGAACAGCTAAAATAGCTAAGTAGTTTTAAACTATTGCCATTTTAAAGATACAGAAGAACCTCAGAGGTATGAACATCTTGGAAATGTTGGTTGTTCATAACTTTGAAATATTTGTAACTCTGAACAAAACTTTATGGTTGTTCTTTTAAAGGTTTACAACTGAACACTGACTTCACACAGCTTTGAAACTTTACTGTGCAAAGAAAATTCTGGTTTAATCCATTTTAATTTAAATAAACTAAGCACAGAAACAGTTTCTTTACCTTGTCAAATCTTTTTTTAGTTTTCCCTTTCTAATAGTTTGTTTAACACACAGTATTGTACTGTACTTACTCCTCCCTCCCCCCTACTGTTGCTTGATTACATACTTCCAGTTCCAAATAAATGTAACTGAGGATGATAACATTTCTAAGAAGGAGAGATGATGTTTTACATATACATTTAAAAATCTCTTTATATAGAAACATTTTGAAAATAAAAGCCCACTTTTTCATGCTTGCTTCTGAAAATGTGCCTATTATTGATCGTTTTTGGGCATATAGCATTCATAAATAAAGGTTAGAATTATGAAACCGGGCAGTTTTAAAACTGATAGTATGGATGTCATATTTTATGTGTACTATATAGTTATATTTGAAATATGGTATATATGCTATTTAAAAATATCAAATAATGGTGAGATATTTGGGACTGATATTATATGCCAAATGTAAGATCTTGGTTATTCTATCTCCACTTGTGCTAACAATCTACCCCTCACAACCCTTCATTAGGTTATTCTTACAGAGGTGTCTGGTTAGACACGTGGGAAATAGAGGATAGGGTTTTTATTCCGTGGAGAAATTTCTGGTGGGCTAAAATCAGATTTTAAATGCTGAAACTCCTTGGAGTAAAATCCCTGGATTAAAAAGTCAGCCAGAATCAGTGAAGTTGTTCTGAGGTTGATAAATTGAACATTTTACAGTTTCTTCTGGGTCTCACCTGACCCATGGATCATGGAGTTATCATTCTGCAGATGTGCAGATACAGGCAACCAATTTGTTTCCTTATCCTGAACCTCTGTCCTGGTGCATTTTTGTGCACCACTTCTTTGAATTGGAATAAACTTCCTATTTCCAATTATTCTCACAAACAATCCTTTCCTTTATCATGTCAAAAGCCTATTATTTTTAAATCCTGCCTATAAGAAATGAATGTAAAATAGTATTGAAGAAAAAGAAAAACATTGCAAGTTAGCTTTGACTTCCAATGTATCCGACTCCTCTGTCAGCCTTCTAAAATTTTAGCTTCATGAGGCAAGGATTGTTTTACATTTGTCTTCTGCAGCTTCAAACACTTTTACGCACATAACTAATACCCCAATAATGCTGTTTATTTCCAGAACTTAATAAACTTTTTCTTGACTTTCTCTTACAGCATTTAGTAGTATGCTGCAAAGGCAGTGGAATCAAATGCTATTTCATTCTTTTTGAACACTACTACTATTATTTTTAATAAAGCATTCTCCATAAGGTGAGGGAAAAGAGATTAGAAAGTAAAATTGATTCACAGACTATAACTTCAGTAATGGGCTGTTCCCAATCAGACAATGATAGATAAGTTTCAGAGATAGTCATATTAGTCTGTTTCAGCAAAAATAATAAGGAATCCTGTGGCACCTTAAAGACTATTAATTTTATTATGGCAGAAGCATTCATGATTTCCAACTCACTTCATCAGATGCATGAAGGAAAAGAAAAAGAAACAGACAGTAGGGATATAATAATGGTAATGTTACATCAAAGCTAATTCAGTCAGGGTGGATTTGCCTAAGAGGAAGAGAATATCTGAAGGTGAAAATTACTTATGGTAAGAAGTGAGCCATTCCCAATTTCTGTTCAGACCCATTGTGATGGTGTCAAATTTGTATATGAATTCTAGTCCAGCAGTTTCACGTTGCAGCCTAGTTTTGAAGTTTTTTTGTTTGTGTGTGGCAACTTTCAAGTCTGTAACTGTGTTTCCATGGAGGTTAAAATAGTCTTTGACTGGTTTTTGTATGTTACCATTCTTGATGTCTTGATATATCAGAAATGGCTTATCAGAAATGGCTTATCGGTTGTATTTTTCTTGAGGTTCCGAAATGTAAACATTTAATAATTTTCTTACTGTATGTGATAATATAATAATACATATTTCTTTTTTACAGTTACCTGCCATGGTTTGAGGTATACTACAAATTGTTAAATACACTGGCAGATTATTTGGCTAAAGAACAGGTACTTTTAGATATATGTTTACTTCTACTAAAATATTTTACTTGAAATTAAGTGTAATACATGTTTGAACAACATATTTAAAATTTGTAACAAAATAAAAAATGTGCGTGTTTTAGTTTGACATAGGTCAAACTTCACATGCATAGATGGGGCTATCACAGTGGAATTAAAAAAAAATCTGGATATGCTGCTTGGAGTATTTTGTTGATGTCATGTATTCATTTTAAAAAGCTGCTGAGAAGATAGTACAGCAAAGTGTTAGAGTTTATTTGTAAACAAATCCTGGGCCAAGTATGAGCAGAGTGTCAAGCTACTGTAAAACTTGATGATATGTTGATTATTAACTGGATAGTTCCTGAAATTTCAGGTTTATTAGATACAAACACTTTTTCTCAACTGCATTGGGTTTGATGTACTACTTCACCCTTCATATTAACTACTTCATCATACTGCCATTTTGACTAGAAAGGGGAAACTGTTTTCAGCACTCAGTCAAAAATCATATTTTAATTTGCACATTCATGGCAATTATATGTTTTCACAGGATTATGTAGGAAACAAAAAACTGCCACCTGTCTGTATTACAAGTATTAAAGATATACTTTTCTGCTTTGAGGATATTGGTAAACTAGATGGTAATTTTTGAAAGAGAAAAAGGTTAGCCATATGCTGTTGGCTGCAGATGCTGAGATTGCAAGAATAACCAGATAAAAGTTATATGAATCAGAAACACACTAAAGAAAACAATAACATTTTATATGTAAAGAAAATACAATAGCCCAGCTGCATTAACTTAAATAAAGCAAAATGTTATGATCACTGAAGTCTAATTGTTAGCATATTAAATCATTTTAAATTTTGTTTTGTCTTATTCTTACTATTTTATTGTAATAATCAGGGCTTTTTATTGAGGTCATGCTTGAATGACAAGGCTCATTCAGGGCAAGGACTGTTTTTACCTTTGGGTCTTTCTCAGTACTTGTTGGCCCTAAACAAATAAATAGTAAAAACAACTTCTAAAAACGAGTAGTCCTGTAGCACTTAGAAATTAACAAGAATATATTCATAGTATCATGAGCTTTTGTGGGCACAGCCAGCTTCTTTAGATGAGATGATCATCTGGAAATGTAGAGAAGGAAAATTAGTGTTAAAGAAAGTGACTTCAAAACTTGCAAGAAATGATCATTCTTGGAGTCATAAAAGTTGATTTTGCTTCTACTTTAATTCATAGCAGTTGCACTATGAGATGCTTTTATTAGTGATTAAATGAAAAAATATTTATTAAAATGGAGTATGTATTATTTGTATATGATTACTAATTGATTCTTTTTAAATATTTTCTGTAGGAAAATGACTTGAATGATATGTTAAAATCACTGTATAGCCACCCTGTGCCAAAGGCAAATACTCCTGTCAGTTTAAGCGTGGTAGGTATCCTGTGTAATGTCTCTTCATTGTAAAAATTTACACCGTTTCTTGTGGTTAAAAAAACCCCCAAACAGATTAAACCTTATATTGGGTGTTAAATTATTAATGTCTCAATACATTTCCTCTTATTGTTAAATGGCTTGCCATAGTGTATTCACTTATTACATAAAAAGTGTGTATACATCTGTACACATATGGAATGCAATCCTAAACTAGCAGAAATTGAGACTTGCTGCATGGGTCTGAAGGCAGGCTACCATAACAACTGATGATGCTTCTCCATATCTTGTTTATTGCCATATATCTAAGATGAGTGACTTTAGTTACTTTGTGCTGTGTATCAAGATTTTCTCCATGGCTTCTGAATACTTGAATAGGGAGGGATATAGGACTGGACACATGTCAGTCTGAGCTTGGCTTTTCCATTGTCTGCCTGTAGTTCCATACCTTTCTGCCTTGTGCTTGATCATGCCAGGGTGGAATGCAGAAAAGGATAGGGGAGGCTTTACTGAAATGTGCAAGGGTTTCTGCAGATCCAGACAAGTGCACTTGCACACAAGTTTGTCTTTGCCATGTGAGGTGATGTGGGAGTGTGTCCTAAAATTGTAGCGGATCTTCTAGCTCACATTATCAGTGATGCTGGTGCAAATGTAAGAAAGTGACTACAAATCAGAAGGTTTTATTTCTGCTTTGCAAATAAGTGTTTCCTAAATGAAATATCAAAAGTAGCAGTGCAAAACAACTAAAATTTCCTAGATTCATAGAGTTTAAGAACTGGACCGTCCAGTTGGACCTGTATATAACAGGCTATTCAATTTCAACCAATTATCCCTGCATTGACCCTTCTGGAATGACCTGTGACCACTTCTGAAATTTGCGAAGTGGCCCCCCTTCAGAAATTATTATCCACCCCTGAGTTAAATTGGTTTAGTCCATTTGGTTATTTGTCAGCAGTTCCACTGCATTTCCTGTCTGAATTTGCAACACAGCACTTGGCATTGGTTCTGCATTTATATAAGTATTCATCAAAATGGATTCCAAAGCAAAATCAGTTTAGCACGCTACTTTCTCCTTCATCCAGACAAGCTGGGAGGATGGCCACAATCTGGATCACTTGATCAGCTAAGTGCAAGCAAACAGTGTGCATTTTAATATGGCTAAAAGTATACATCTGGGAATTAAGAAGGTAGGCTACATTTACAAGATAGAGGGACTCTACCCTGGGAAGCAATGACTCTGAAATGATTGGGGGTCTTGGTCAATAATCAACTGAACATGAGATCTCAGCATGGCCAAAAGGGCTAATGCAGTCCTTGAATGCATAAACAGGGAAATTTCATATATAACTAGAAAGGTTATTTCACCCCCGTATTTGCACTGGTGCAACCATTGCTGGAGCACTGTGTTCACTTCTGTTGTCCACAATGCAAAAAGATGTAGATAAACTGGAGAGGGTTTAGAGAAGAGCCACAAGAGAAGGGGTATGCAATAATTTTTGATGTGGGAGGCCACTTGACAAATTCCTAACTGTCAGGGTGGTCAAATATTGGAATAAATTGCCAAGGGAGGTGGTGGAATCTCCCTCTCTGGAGATATTTAAGAACAGGTTAGATAGACATCTGTCAGGGATGGTGTAGACGGAGCTTGGTCCTGCCTTGAGGGCGGGGGCTGGACTTGATGACCTCTTGAGGTCCCTTCCAGTCCTATTATTCTATGATTCAATTAAATTTTGGAAGTGGCCATGGGCTGCCCCGGAACGGGTGGGGCATTGGGCGGAAGGGGCAGGGTTGGGAGCTAGCCTATCCCAAGCTGTGCTTGGCCTGGGATTCCTGCCCCTAAGTTTCAGCCAATGGAAATTGAGGAAGCTGGAACAGATGGGCCGGTGCTGAGGGCTAGCCTCCTCCCAGAGTTGTCTGCAGTGAAGGCTTGGAATTAAAGACACACTAAAGGGCTCGCAGCCCCTGGCCCTGCTGCTAATCCGTTGCCTGGCAGCCGTGAGCCTGGAGCCCTTTCAATTGCTGCTATTTAAAAGGTTCCTGGCTCACGGCTCCAAGTGGCTCCGAGGCAACACATTAGTGGCGGGGTCAGGAGCTGCAAACCCTTTAAATAGTAGCAGTTTAAAGGGTTCACACCATCTGGGCCGCTGCTACCGGAAGCTACGGGCCCTTTAAATAGAACCAATCAAAAAGGCTCACAGCTTCCGGCCCTACCACTAACAAGTTGCCTGAGAGGTGCCAGGGAAGCGTGAGCCCTTTCAAATCCTGTGATTTAAATGGCTTGTACCTTCAGGGCGGCTGCCAGGCAACATGGTAGCAGCCACCCAGCAAGTGCAAGCCCTTTACATAGCAGGAGTTGAAAGGGCTCACGCCTCCCTGGTGGGTCCCAGGCAGCGCTTCAGCGGTAGAGCCAGAAACTGTCTCCGGCCAGATCAAAGTGCTAGGTGGGCTGGATTTGGCCCACTGACAGCATCTTGCCCAGCCCTGATCTAACTGAATGGGAAGTCCTTGCTAAATTTGATCTAGATACATGTGCACTGGTAACAGGAACTGTTGTAAGAATCTAAGAACTGTTTTAGTTTGCTGCTTGGCTTAAATTTTTATGTCTGTGTATGTTATATCCCTTTCTTCCCTATTGTAAATGGCAAGGTTTTAAACTGTGGATTTTAATAGTTTTAAAATTCAGTTATATTTGGAAAAGTGACTGTAAAAATGGCACTATGGAATTCTATGTTTATTATCCCTGAGTGGATCTATATCAAGTTTCTTGATGCAGAAGTAAAAAGGATGTTGACAATTGGAAAAAAAATACCGCAGTCTTCTCCTGGGATCTGGAAGCTAAGCTGTGTTCTTTCAGTCTCACATCAACATTGGTAAAAAATACAGTATTCTGCAAATAAAACTTACCATATTTAAGCATTCTGTTGGAGATACATGAACCAGAGTGGAATCCAGGTCACATTCTCAAGCTGTGTGTGTACAGTGCCCTGCAGCATGGACTTTTGGGGGATCACCTGCAGAGTGCATCAAAGGGTGGCATGCAAACTGCCCCACATGACTGCTACTGGTACAAACTAAAAGGTACCTATTTTGCATTAACATCTTGTTTTGAAAGCACTACATTACTGTGAAGCAGACATATTTTAGTTTGCGCCAGCAGCATCCACACAGGGGAGTTAACGTGTCATGCTTTGGTGAACTCTGCAGTTGACAGCCCTGTAGTGTACACTGTGTTGCTCTGTAGACACTCCCTTTCATGATTCGGCACTGTAGCGTTATAAGGAATAAAAAGTGGTAATGGTTCACTTTTATCAGAAATGTAAGTCATTTGTGGTCTGAATATAGAAACTTATCAGATCTGATGAGTGAGTCATCCTGACGGTTACATATTTCAGGCCTGCCCATTCCCCTGAATATATGGGTCATACATTAATAAAGCTGCACCTCTAGACTGAGCATTTTTGCGGGTGGTTGAAAGTTATGGACTCTTATTGATACCTGTACTTCAACTGCACTCCAGCTGCACATAAACTGCTTTTATGTCCCCTGGTGACTGCCTTGTTGCTATGGGGGTGAAATCAGAGCTGTCCAACCTAGGAAATTTGTTTCAATATATGAAACGAAGATATGGATGATGTTGTTGAGTAATAAAATAGTAAAGTCTAGCTATGAGGTAAATACAAATATAGCACACAGTGTAATACGATTTTCTACTCTATCAGCTAACAAAATGCAAAAACCCTCCACTCTTAAACTTTGCTCAGTCACACTAAAAATACATGTTATGCCATGCCATTTTATGCATGGCTACTATGTATTTTCTGTTGATCTGTTAAGGTGTTCTACTTAATTTTATATAACAAACAAGGCTTGGATTATTATTTAGAAAGTCAGAACCTAAAATTGTACTTATCTAACCCATTTAGCATTTTCATTCATCTGAAGTAATTATTTACAATGAAATCTTTGCTTCGGTTCCTTTGTGAATGAAATTTAATGTTTTAGTTTAAAAAAAAATGTTCAATTTTTCTCTCATGTTGCATAAGAATCAAGAGATGGTTTTTGCAAGTGGCCAAGTTCTGAAAAATCAGCCATACTTAGTATCGGTGAGTTTAAAAGTACTGGCTACCTAAATCTTACTGGTGAAAGAAATAATTACTTGCCAAATGATTTCTCAGTTGATTACATATAGATCTTTTGAAAAATGATTATTCTGCGGCTCTCTAGTCTAAACAGTCAATCTTTATTAACATATTTCTGTTTACACTATGCTTATTTTAAAACTGCAGTATGTGTGAATTATAATCCTACTACAAAAGCAAAACAAAAAGTTAAAAATGAAGAGGGCTATATAGCCTACATTTTTTTGCACTACCACTTTTTAAATACACAAGAAGTGTGATAGGGGCCAGTACTTGCTAATTTCATTACTATTACAAGATCTTGTGTGTCTTCCTAAGAGATCTCATAATAGGTGGCTGTACTCCAAACTGCATTATTTCCACTGGAAATACAGTAGAACCTCTAAGTTACAAACCCCTCCGGAATGCAAGTTGTTCATAACTCTGAACAAAACATGATAGTTCTTTTAAAAGTTTGCAGCTGAACAATGACTTAATAGAATGTCAGAACTTTTTTATGCTCCTATTAAGTATCTTAATTTAAACATAACAAGCACAGAAACAGTATCCTTACTCTGTCAAATATTTTTTAAACTTTCCAGGTTTTTTAAATAGTTTGTTTAATGAAGTATTGTACAGCATTTGCTTTTTTTATTCTCCTGTTTTCTAATTGTGCACTTCTGGTTCAAAGTGAGGTGTATGGTTGACTGGTCATTTCACAATGCTGGTGTCTGTAACTCTGAGGTTCTGGTGTAGTACATCATAACTCTGATATCTACATTTGTTTTTATATAGCTAGCATTTAGACTTTTTAATTAGTACCAAATAAACTAAATATTGTTAAGGGAAAAATGTTCTTTTAAGTCCATCAGTCTGATGCAATAAGATCTTCCTATGTACATATAGTAAATAACATTAGTAAATAACATTTGCTGATTAAACACAAGATATATTAAAATTCATCAGGTTCTAGTTAATCTTTTGGAAGTTTGAAAAGAAGTACATTTTACTTTTATGTTGGCTGTTCAAATACATGTATAAGAACAGAGATATTTTAAATTGTAGAGTACAGGCTTACTAAGAAAATGGGATAAACAAGTATTTTCTTCAGCAGATTTAGTCTAGAATACTAAAGATATGTTAAACTTATTCAACCAAATTCATTCACTAATTATTTGAAGGCACTAGATTAATATAAATTAGTGAATTACATATTTCCTGAGTTTAATTTGGTCTGTATTTACATCCTGAATGGTGCTCAACCTTAAAATATATATAATATTGTTAATATTTGTCATAGATTAATGTAGAAAGCCACGTAGTTTTATTAATGTAGTTTAGCCACGTATATTTCTTTGTATAGATTGTTGTGAAATAGAGCAGAGCTGGTACCTACAACAATGTTCTCTCTCTCCCAATTAATTTATTTTTGTAGGTGAATGATTTTTCTCTTCACTCTAAATTTGGATTTTTTTTTTTATTTTGTAGTGGGAAATTATTTGCCATAAACTTTTAATCATAAGTCCCAAATTGAATCTGCTGTTTCTTATACTCAATCTTGGCTCAGTATTTAAAATTTGCATAATTTCAATAATGCAATTGAATAATGGCACGATGATGCATGATTTGATTAATAACATTTTTTGTAGTGTTCTGATCTTATTTATTTTATAATGTATGCACACAAACACACAATTTATATTCTTGGTCCCTTTCTGCACAAAATATTAATTTTATTCCCTCCCCATTTATCAGCATTCATACTTCATTACCCCTGATGTAACTGGATTGCCAACAATCCCAGAAAGTGTAAGTATTGTTTTAAAAAAAATATATATTTCTTTATTGTTTTAAAAAAAAAATCTAAGTCATGATGTTAATCTTGTTCAATGGATGTGCTTGAATTAAATTTTTACCCAAGTCTGGGACTACAAAGTTAGGTCCATATATTGCTTTCTACAGGAGATCTCATACTGGTGTCAAAAGCAGGATTTTACAAAGAATGAGTGGAGAATACAGTTTTTTGATTAATTACAAAATCGTTAGTTATTGAAAGAATATCAGCAATATTGAGTGGTAAAAAATTATACAAGATATGTTTATGACTACCACTATTTCTGTACGTTGTTTGATCATTTGATTATTCAGGTACCCAATTTGTTTGTTCACTTCGGATAATACTGTATACAAATCTTCTCTGCAACTTATTTGAATATCTGCCCACCCATTGCATAATTAAGTGCTAGAATTAAAATCCCATTGAGAAGAATGGAAGCAATTTATTTATCTGATTGCTGTCGTTATCAAACTGCCTAAGAAGATTTGAATTCTATAGAATTGAGATATGCGATAGACAGCAGATAAATACATTAAGCAAGCAGGCTGTAAATGTAGTGTCTGTGATCCATAAGTGTGTGTACCTGACTGCTTGTTTAATAGTTAACCAATGAAAGTGTAGTTTATTTAAATAACCCACCTTCTTTAAATCTTGTATTTAAATGTAGGATAAAGGGCATGTATGGTATAGCCAGCTATTTGCTACAGTTTCACACACCCAGAAAATTAAATCCCCATGGTAACTTGAAGAAATTATGATGCCCATAGTAGAATATTGATGCACTAAAGTTTTTCAGATCTGTGTCAGTGTGAATAAATGCTGTGGTGGCTGTGCAAGGGATGCATTTGCTTAATAGTTCATAGAAAGGAAAGGAAATGAGAGATGCCTTTCTCTACTAGCTCTTTCCTTCTCATTTCATTTGTAAGTGTCCCATCCTTTCAGTCTGAGAATAAATAATAAGATGCTGTGATTTTACATGGAAAATAAACAGATGGGGCAAATGTAAAGTACACACCTTGTAAGTGTGGTATATTGTCCTATTCTTATTCTGAGGGTCGCCTTTTTTTTTCTCTACTCAATATCATCTATTCAGAAGAAGTGGGTTTTGCCCATGAAAGCTTATGATACTATACATATATTTTTGTTAGTCTCTAATGTGCCATCGGACTGCTTCTTTAAAAAATTGTTTTTAAGGTTACAGACTATGTCCCATGTAATGTCACTTTGACCATGTACAGAGAGAGAGTTTCTTTCTGTGATTTCCTCTACTACCTTAGCAGAGACCCAACTGGTTTTTAGCTCAAGCTGTAGAGCAGGGCTGCTCAACATGCCGCTCGTGGGCTACATGTGGCCCGCAGCCTATTGGTTTGCGGCCCGTGGTGCAGTTTGCGTTTACATGAGGCCCGTGGGTGGGATCCTTTGAGCAAGGCCTCCACTGGGAACATGCTCCACAATGGCGAGGCGTCTCCCAAGTGGGGTGAGTAAAGACATAAGTGGACAGGCTGGCTGGAACAGAGGGCAGGGTGTCGGCTTTTCTAGCCCCCAGGGAGGAGGTGCTGGGAGCGCCGAGGCATTGTGGGAAGTGCTGGCTGATTAGCCCTGTGGGCAGAGCCAGAGAGGTGCTGACCGGCTCACACTGGCCACGTTTGGGTCTGGTGCCGCAGCTTAAGGCTTGATCTTTGTATTCATGCCTGTCAGAGTGAAAGCATATATTTGCATATCTATTTGCATGTGTATGCAATCACACTTAAGTTGTGGCCATTGGGAAACGTGAGATAGATATCAGGAAGAAATTCTCATTGCACTTTGAATCCCCTGGCTGGGGACTGATGGCTGCTTTCCTGTTCAGTTCAGGACATACAAAATTAAGATTCCTCAGACCTTGCCCTGTAATTAGTGAATTGTGGGCACAGACCCTGGGCCACACTAGCCTTAAAGGTTGGAGAAGCCTAACTGACCATTGTTAGCCTCTGTTGATTTCCTTGTCTTCACAAACCATAGCATATCCTAAACTATGGAACTCAGCCCATTGTGGGGTGCATAAGGATGTTAAATTGTGGTTAATTTACTAGTCAAATAGTTGATGGAATTTCCATCAACTACTTGACCAGTTGATAGGCATTTCTGTATTCCTCCTCTGAAATGTACAAGAGCTCCCACTGGGGTTCTTGTACATTTTAAAGGAGGAGTGTGGAACATGTGTGCAGCCTGGGGCCAGCGGGAAGTCATGCTGACTCCGGGCTGCACGCAGGCATGCCAGCTTTGAAATGTACAAGAGTCCCCAGCAGGGGCTCTTGTGCATTTCAAAGTGGAAGCATACTCATGGAGCCCAGGGTCAGCGGAGGACTCAGAGTCCCCCGCTTACTCCGGGCTCCATGTTGTGCTACCAATTTGAAATGCCACATGGAGCCTAGGGTTAGCTGGGGACTCTCCAGCTGATCCCGGGCTCCACGCGGCATTTCAGCAGAACCTGAGGTCAGCTGGGGACTTCACAGCTGATCCCGGGTTCCGCAGAAATGCTGCTTCCGCGGTTGTGAGGTGCTGTCCTCTGAAGTACCCTATCCAGTCCCCTCCCTTTTCTGCCTCTATCTGATAGAGGCAGCAAAGTGGGAGGGTGGGGGGAGGAAGAATTGACTAGTCGACTGACTTTCCCATAAGCATTTGCTTATGGGATAGTCAACTAGTCTTTAACGTCCTTAGTGCATGATTGCCCTGTACAGGTACCACCAATGCCCAGCTGTCAGGTTGAAATGTAGATGGCTGTCTAGTCAGATCCATTTTACCATTTCACATTAATAAAAATACTAGTGCAGGTTTGACCCTCTGGTCTGGCACCCTCAAGACATGACCAGCCCTGAACGATTGAATGTGCCAGACCAAGGAAGATCCCCTGCCACAGGTCCCCAAACCTGCCACCCCTGTCCACCACAGGTTCCACTTCTGCCTTATCTGGCCATCCTGCCTAAGGCCTGGCCAGTGTGCTGGCCCCACTACCACTGCCCAGGTGGGCTGCCTGTCGCTGGCCCTGGCCCTCTTCTCCTGGCCCCAGCATCTGATGGGCTGCCACCAGCCCTCTTGCCACTGGGCTTTCAGCAAGGGGCTCTCTGGTCCAGGAACATTTGTGGTCCTGCCATACCACATAGGTTGCCGGACCACAGAGTCCCAGTTTTGGCAGGTGTAAACTGTATCTGAAAGCCCGTGCTACTGCATGGGTGTAATTGATAAAATCATGCCTATAAAAGCTGAAAACAACTGATAACTTAAGAAATTTGACAGTGAGAGGCTACAAATCCCAGGTGGTGGTGGTGGTGTGTATGGTTGTGTTGATTTGCGTTTCATGTGCGGGGAGAGATGTGCTGGATATTTAAGATGTGTGCGGTGGCAGATAAGTGTGTACTGTGGTGAGGGGTTATGTGTATTTGTAGTCGTATGTGCTGGTTTTGTTGTTATGTGGGTGGTTCTGCAGAGCAATGGTAGGTGGGCCAAATAATCCACCATCTGTGTAGTCTCCTTCATAGAATTAATTATATTGTTATATGCATATTAGTTATAAAGTTAGGTTAATGATTGGATGAATTACTACTGAAATTGTAATGGTCTAGGACTCTTGCCTTACTGTAGCTGGATACCACATAGATCTAATTTGTGAGGCCAAAATGTCTGAGCTCTTAAAAATTCAAAAGTAGCAGATTGAGAATCCCAGTACTGACTCAACCTAGTGAGATCCTGAACAAGAAGTGCCCTCAGTAATACTTGTAGCTGTTTCCAGCACTTCACACTGATTCAATATACATTTAAGACTTCAGAAAGACTTATCAAGCGACATACTTGGAATCTTATTATACCGATTAAATGTCTTGGATGTATATAAATGAGGGGGAATTTACTAGTGAGACAAATTGGGTGAGGTTATAACTTTTGCTGGACCGGCTTTTGTTGGTGAGAGAGACATGCTTATAAATGCTGATCCAATAAAAAATATTTTCTTCCCCACCTTGTATGTCTAATATCCTGGCTACAACAATATGGCATACAATGAGGAATTCACTAGGGTAGTATTCAATCTTTGTGAATGCTTTTGTATGTATTTTACAAAGCAATGCACTTTTAAAAATTGTAATGTATATTCACCTACAGCCCAGGATACACTCATACTAAAGCCCCAAAATATAAATAAAAATGAATAGTTGTTTGAAACAGAACTAGCAGATATTTGTTCTAGAGTTTCCATTTTAGATTTGTACAGAGTTCTCCTACACCCAAAAAGAAAAATAAATGCACAAAATAAAAAGAGAATCTTAAAAGTTAATTTTATTTTGTGTTTAAAACGGCACACGTGTCTAGCAGGATTGATTTTTCATTTATATTGTGAGAAATTTCTATAAATAATGTTCACAATATTCTATTCAATTGCCATTGTGTTAACATTTCTTTTTTTATTTATTTAAACAGAGAAACCTTACTGAATATTTTGTTGCTGTAGATGTAAACAATATGCTGCAACTTTATGCCAGTATGTTGCATGAAAGACGAATCATCATTACCTCTAGCAAACTAAGCACTGTAAGTACTTCACACGTCTCCTTTTAAGTAGAATATATTGAGCATTTCATAAAAAGACCTACAGACCTCTGCAGATTTAGATATGTTCCATGTGTACTTGTAAGATAATATCTACATACTTTTTTGATATATGGTTTTAATCTGGCTCTTGAAGTACAACAGTTTGATTTATATAAGACCTACTGAGATACATTGTCAGGTTAATTATTTTTTCTTATCAGGAGATGAGAGTTCTTTAACTCTCTAGTGTTCATTTCTTTGCTTGCTACCCTACAAAGCATTCTTAAGGGCTATTATAAGATCTTTATTATTCACTTCTGGCTTATTCCATTGGAGCTACTTGAAGGAAATCAAGGAGCCATGATAATAGCTGCTATCCTAACCTGGTAATAGGCAGATTCATCTTTGTAGCACTGTAGCGGTTTGGGATGTATACTGTAATAGCTCTGATTTGCAACAGCTCTTATAGCTGATAATAATTTGCAACTCAAAATAGTATTTTAATTACAAGTTTTAGGGTACTGCCCACACTGAAATCTTTTTCTTTGTCAGTATAGACTAGAGAAATGAATGAATATCTGTTCGGTTACAAAAACATACCTAAATATTCTTTTGTTTCAAACTTCAGAGTAAAGGTTGAGGCTTTGTAATTTTCTTATAGTTTGATGTATGCTCAAGAGGTTAACTCAGGTTGCATGTGGCTGTCATTTTACAAACCAATTTGCTTCATAGGTATATTAGTTATTTAGTACCTTGAATCTTTTGTTAAAATTCAATCGCAGAAAATCCTTTTATTTCACTTACGAGGTGCTGCAATAAAGCCTTTTGTCTGACACATTTCCATAGTAGTAATTCAACATTACTAGTTTTATAAAAGAGTAAGTGAACTGTTATTTTGGTCAGGTGCAACATTTAGATGCAGTTTTATAAACACAATTCAGAACAACTTTTTGGAGGTTTATAGATGAAAGCTAATGCATCACTATTTTGATTCTAAAAACAAATTTCTGTGTTATATAATGTTTTTGAGAGCTCAGAAAATATATCGTATATAGAGAGTAATTTAAATTCCATTGAGCCAAAAAGGAAATTTTGTGGGGTGGGGAAAGTTGTGTTGCCAAAGGGTGCTCGTAAGTAGGAGTAGTTCTTACAATTAAAAAAGAAAAAGAAAACATCACAAGTTCCCAAATATACAACTTGTGTAGGCTGCTGTTCCATATAGAATCCCAATGTGACTTTAGTAGGTCTTCATGCAAGAACAGCAGTTTGCTTACAGGCAACACGCTGCAGGAGCAGCGCCAAGCTAAATAACCAATTAAAATTGATATTGAATGAATGATGTGTAGTTTTTAGAAAGCAGTTGATAATGTAAGTATAGTAAGCTTATAAAAAAAATTCTTCTGTTCAAATCCCAATGCCTTTGACTTTTAAAAGCTACATATTTTCCTTTAAATGCATAATAGGCTAGAATCACCCATTTTAGACATACAGTCCAATATTTATTTGTATTTATCTAAAATGCATCCATTGAGAGAATGGCTGTTTTTACAAAACTTTTCAATAAAAGAGAAATAGTAAACTGTTTGAACTGATGTCCAAACACAAAACTACTCCTAGCCTTCCCAAACCCAAACCAAGATTTCATATAATCATCTTTCCATCACTTTACCTATCCCACCTCCCTGGAAAACTGTAGGACAACATGTAAGCATCTCACAGTGAACAACAAATTTGAACCTGGTCAAATCATTAAGGGAGGAGAATTCTAAAATGGTGGTTCCTTCTCAGAAAACATCCTCACCCTCTAGCTGTCCAAACTCTGACCTATGTTCTGAAGTCCAGAGGAGTCAGGCAATAGGCAGAATTAAAGACATCTTTGTAATTTACCAATTCAGCTGCAAGCTTGGTTGCTAAGACCTATAATAGACATAAAGGAGCCCTAATAGCCCCAGTGCTGTTATAGGAGAAGAGATGTGTAGGAGTCACAGTGGTGTTCCATATGCCCCACAAGAAACCTATATTAGTCAATTAAGCCAAGTTTAAGTTTACTTTATATTGGAACGCTTAATGAGATGTAGACTCTGACCTGTTTTCACTCTAGCTCCCTCCCATTTAAGACCAAGGCTATTGATCTCACAAGACCCTGTGATGTGGGAATGCCTTCGTGCCAGCTGGCAAGAGGAACAGAGGGGGCATATAGGGGTTACAGGAACCCCCAGAATCTGATATTTATAGTCTAGTTCATGTAAGGATGTCATGTAAGATCTCAAATAAAATCCAGTGCCACATGTTATACAGGGAATTGTGTGTAAATTGCACAGAAAATATGTTATTAACTTCTGTGTCTAGGACAGGAGTGGGCAATAATTTTTGATCGGGGGCCACTTCAGAAATTTTTGAAGTGGACCCTGGCCACCCCGGAAGGGCCGGGGCCTTAACACAACTGTGCTTCCCCTCCCACAGACCCTGATTGGTTTGAGAGTGGGGGAGTGTGTGAAGTCTTTGCCCCTGCCATCTCTCTCCCCCTCCCCACCCTACCCTCCAGAGAACTACCAGATATTCTGAACAGTTGGCAGTTCCGTCCAGGTGCCCATACTCCTGAAAGTGGGAGGATACTTGGCACACTCCACTCTACCCCCAGCCAATCAGAGGTTGGGAGGAGCATGCAAAGGCTCCCTGTCCTGCCCCCATCCTGCAAGGAGCATGCGGCACTTAGAAGCACCGCGACCCTTGCAGGGTGGAAGGAGACTTTGCATACTCTCCCATCCCCAGGTAAATCAGAACCTGGGGGAGGGGGAAGTGTGCAAAGTCTCCTCTCACCCTGCCCCCTTTCTGCAAGGAACACACAGCTCTTAGAAGCACCACACGCGCCCTACAGGAGAGGATCAGGGTGGGAGGAGACTTCATGTGCTCCCCTCCACCCCCAAACCCTGATTGGCCTGAGAGTAGGGGAGCGCAAAGTCTCTTGCTCTCTGTCCTCGGGGCGTAGAGTCAAATCAGCAGGGTTGACTAAGCACTGCACGCTCCCTGTTCACTAGGCTCTGTTTGGCCTGGGGATGGGGGAGCGACAGGGCCTCTACAGGCCAAATCAAACCTCTTGGTGGGCCGAATCCAGCCCATGGAGGCTCTTTTGCCCACCCCTGATCTAGGAACTGGTCAGCAGCAAAGGTGAGAAATTGGTTTTCTGTCAAACAAGATTTTTTTCATCTATCTGTTTATATGTTAATTAAACATGGACTTGTTCACAATTGGTCACTGATCACCAGTCTGAACTCAGTGCAAATGAAGGATTGTGAGCATTTCAGAAAGAAACTAGTTGAGGGGGAGAGAATCTTATCTTGAGGTGCACTTCAAAGATTTGCTATATATTTGGTGAACAAGGAAAACATCCATGTCGTCCTTAACTGAGAAAGTAAATGTGCAGTGAGTTTGCTTCATGACAAAGGGGTCTCAGCTAGGTTTGAAAACCCTGTAGAGCAGTGTTTCTGAAAGCGTTCCATGGAATCACTTCCAGTAACACATTAACTGGCTGCCCCAGTTTGTTTATTTACCAGCGCTGCGGCCACGGAACCTCGCGGCTCCTTTTGGCTCTGTTTCATCCTTTGCAGCCAAGGGGAGCCATGGGAAGTGGTGGACCAGCCCACACTGCTTCCTGCTGCTCCCTTTGGCGGCAAAGGACAAAACAGAGCCAATGGGAACCGTGAGGCTCCGTGGCTGCGGCGCTAGTAAATAAACAAACTGGGGCAACCAGTTAATGTGTCTCTGGGAGTGATTCCACGGAACACTTTCAGAAACACTACTGTAGAGAACTTTGCTGAGATAAACTTTTTAGACTGGAGATTAACCTGTTAGTTTGAATTTATTCTCTAGAAAATAGGTTGTGATTTTGTTTTATATATAAGCATTTGTTTCTCAGTCTTACTTTCTATCATTTGTATTTCTGTTTTTTGATAATTTATTTTTGTTTTTACTATAAATGTATCTAAATTCTGTGGTACTAATCAAAGTGATGATTCTCAGCTGAATCTTGTAAGCTGGTGTGTAGTGATCCTTTGTGATCTGCAAGCCTGGTAATTTTGTAAATGTCCAGTGGATGAGAGGCTGTAAAAAATGCAGGAAAATGCTCCGAGGCCGGAAGTGTTGGTGTGTGCCAGTTGCTACTTATTCGGGGGAACAAGGCCTATGGGGGCCTGGAAGGGCCAGGCATCTGTATAATGAAGTATTTGAAGTTTATGATTAGTTGTAAGATGTAGCCCCATAAAAAGTGCATTGCAATAATCCACTCATGAAATGACATTCTGTGGTGGAATCCTTACTAGAAATAACATGTTGCAATCTCTTGAAAAGGTAGTCTTCTCCAGATAGCAACCATGGCTATCACAAAACAGTTGAAGATACAATAAAATCAGCAAGTTTTCAATCCAAATTACAGGTTGCAGACAAATTTCCATGAATAAGGGAGCTACCATCACTTCCTCAGTTTCTCTGGGTTATTTTTCCCAACCAATGAGTCTTAACTGGATTATGGTTTAGTCAGCTAGCCCATTTCCAAGGCACAGTACTGGCAAAGGCAGTGTTTGTTGTTGACAAAAGTAAGTCTCAGGTCCGACACTTGGTTCTCAAAGTACAAAGGACGCTACACAGGTATCTGTCAAACACAAGTAGTTTACTTCCTGACAGCTAACAGCTGCACCCCTTAACTAGAAGGGCAACATAACAAAGAAGCGGCATATCTTACGTCCCTTCCTGCTAGCCGGGGATCCCGAGTCAGTTACGGACGAAGTGGGAGGTTGTCTCAGCTTCCGAGGCACCGGTACCCAAAGCCCATCAGTGTGGTCCAAATTGCTGTGTTCTGGTGCAGCGTTAGATTCTCTGTCTCTACCTTGTTTGTGGCAGTTTGGAAATTTCTGGGGGTTACTCATTGATCATTACAGTGTGGCTCAGCTGTACTGCTTGTCCTTTGATTTTGTTTACATGATCAGTACATTTAGGTAAACAAG